CGACCTTCAGCCTCCCTCACGGGTGTTTCTTCCCGTACCCTTCACACGTGTGGGAAGAAACCCGAAGCCTCCGGGCTTTAACCCACCCGAGGCTTGAAGACTAGTGAACGCAGAGCAGAAGCCCGGAGGAGCAGTGGCAGAGCTCCCGGGGGAAACCCTGAGGGGTCCCCACAGGTGGACAGCAGCCCTGCACCAGCTCCACATCTCGTGAGAAGTCACCAGGTGCCCTCCCAGCAGAGCTTCCCTGCGCACTCTTGTCATCACAGAGCTGAGCTGGTGTCTCTGGCTGTCAAACAGCATGAAGCAACTCATACTACTTAAAAGTTCACCAGTCCTAAAGCTATTGACTTAGTATTTTAGAATGTGTTTTGTGAAGAGTGTACCTTTGCTGAAATGTTTTTTGTAGAAAACTGTTCCCTGAGAGTTGTGAGCGTTTTCATCACGGAGGGTCTGACCCACCAGTTCGGGCAGCACTTGAGGCATCGCTGCAGCGTGAGCCGCTGCTCAGTCACTCTGAAGGAAGTGTGCGTGTGGGTTTCCTTACAGTCACTCACATGTAAGCGCTTCTCCTCTTTACAGAATGACTAACGCACACTGCAGAATCACGTCTCATTTCTACACATAGTCTCTGGCAGGTTTGTTGAAAAAACAAAAAAAATATGACTCCCTTCTACTAACAGCACTAAAGCCATAGCAATTCTCGGGCAGATAAGGAAACAGAGAAAAAGAAATCGTTCGCTTAAGGAACAGTTAGAATTCAGAGACAGATCTTTCAGATTCAAAAGCCCTTCCTTCCACTCCCCGGGGATTCCAGGCCCAGCTGCAGACTGGCATCACCTACGGGGTGAGAAACAGACAGTGAAACACAAAGGCCGTCTCTAGTCCCGCCCACTCCCCTGCTTCTGACGCACTGATGGGGACGGGTCTCGGCTCACACCAGCCACGTTCCCTTGTGTCACTCTGTCCCATCAATTCTGTGTTAAAACAAGACCCTCGGATGAAGATCCTGCAAGATGAGAGGCAAAAATACAGTCTCGAACATAATCTCATCCAGACAAGGACCACGGAAGTTTTAGAAGTTCTGTGGTTGAAGAACGGGTTACATTAGTTGCAGTTTAGCCAATGCTGGGAACACTGGACCCCTGACACGGGGTCACTGGAGGAGCTGCCGCAAACAGCAGGTGAGCATGCTGCTCGGAAGCCCAGGGCTGGTACCGGCACACAGGAGCGCGTCATGGGCATATGCGGGAAATGCACCCGCTGACCGAGTCCCCCACAGTGTAGAAACAAGGCGTGAGCACAGAGCACAGTGAGGCTGGGGAGGCCCAGGGCCCCGTGGGGAGCCTGGGAGGAACCCCCACAGGTCCTGGGGTCCCTGAGCAGAAGAGGAAGACGACGAGCGCGGTGCGGAGGGAACTACTCTTGCTAACGCGTGGAGGACAAACTGATGGCCCGAGCGTGTGTGACACCGCGGCTGGAAGGCCAGGAGGAAGCAGCACAGTCCCGGGACCCTGAGCAGTGCAAACCCCAGAGGGGAAGCAGAGACAAGTCTGCTTGGACAAAAGAAAAACCACGGGGTCTGAGACTCTCCACCGAGGTGCTAGTGGGTCTGGGGACACTGACCATCAGGAAAAGGTGACCCCAGGCACAGGAAACTCAGGTTTTACCACACTGAGAGGAGGGTTCACTTTTCCCAAACTTCTTCCTAACCTTAAATATGACCAAATGTTTCTTTACAAAGGCAAATTTTCAGGGGGATAGGGGTAAACTTCAGGGGTAGACCATGTGCTCAGCATGCACCAGGTCCTGGGTTCAACCTCCAGTACCTCCATCAAAAATAATTAGAAGAAAAAAACTAAAAACAAAGGCAGATTTTCAGAGAGTAAAATATACTTTATATCTTAGAAGAAATACCATAATAACAGTTTAAAAAGTATTACAAGAAGAATGGGATAAAACTGAATCTCGTAATTTAGCAAATGACCTTTAGACCCAGCAGTCTACTCAGTCAGAGTAGTTACTGGAAGCTTAAAGTCATGAATTCTGAATCCCTAGGGAGGGAGGCTGGACACCACTAGGCTCCCCCAGCCCCCCCACGCTCCCCCACAGCACCTCCAGCTCAGGCGGGCACTCCTCGCCACTCCAGGAGACTTCCTCTGACAGACCTGGTGTCAGCCATCAAGTCCACACCGATGTGAAACAAACGCCACTATTCTTTCATCGTTTGGGCGTGAAGGGGGAAACCAAAGACCACCACAGCACAACAGGAAATCTTCATAAAGAGTCTAACTGCTTTTATTACAACGGTGCAAGGTAGTAGTTCATCCAACTCACCAACGGCAAACCGGCAAACTGGCATCTTCCATAAAACAGTTCCAGAAAGTTCGAACAAGAAAAGGAAGAGACACATCGCCTGTAATAATTCTCATACAATGGTGCTTAGTGTTTAAACTTCGGATCACTTGTGTGATCACTTCCCAGCAAACATGTGGCAAAGGCATTTGCTCTGTTTTGTCTGCCTGCAAGCATCAGGACATGCCTCACAATTAGTAACGGTTTGTTACAACTTCCAGGACACCGAGATCTACTCGTGCTCAGATCGGCCAGTTGTACCAAACACCATAAATACAAAATGACTGGAAATATAAACATCAATTTGTATTTCAAGTTTGTAACATTTTATTTACAAAAATAGTCTGGGAGGAAAAGGGTTCGCAGCCCCATACTCTGCCCTGGGGGAGGGGGAGGGTACTATTTTGCGCCACATTCTAGGTTTTTTCCTAACAATTTTGAGAGTCGCGGTTGAATTCTTTCTGAATTGTATTTGTGAACTAGAAGCTCCAGGGGAGGGGGCCGCGGGGGGCAGGCGGGCGTGGAACAGGGCACGGAGATGGCTTTTACTGAACGGACCCCGGGCGCCTCATGCACTGGGCGGCGACACGAGCACGCTCTGACACCAACAGCACACGCACTATGTACAGGACCGCGGCGTCTCCGGTCGGGAAGGACACTTGGCGCCGATGCGACACTCCCAGACGGTGGTGTCCACGCCGACGCTAGGACATGACCCCGAAGACGGGGCTGTGGCGGCAGACGCTGGGGCCATGCTCCTCGTAGTCCTTCTTGGTGTGGCACACCTGGAAGAACTCGGGCTGCGGGGGCGACAAGCAGAGGGAGAGTGACCGCGCCGGGAGTGGACGAGACTAAACCCCGAGTGAGCAAATGGCTCTCCTGACCCAAACCCCCTCTCCGCCCGGCCTGCCACAAACTCCGACCTCTCCAAGGGCCTCAACTACTTAACAGGAGTTGACTTCATTTTTTAAAAATCTACAGTTTCTCGTGCTTGCCCAAAATTAGCGGTTCGTTAGCTAGTCACAAATTGGAGGAGAAAAATTTCTAATTACTTGGAAAAAGCACTGGAGTTAACAACTAATGCAAGACGTTTGGGTTATTTCCGGTTCCCTCATCCGTATTACCTGTAACCCCTAACTGGCAGGGGGTGCAATGTAAAGGATGACTGAAGTATCTTTCCTATCTGGCAGAATTAAGTGTGCGGCTGTTTAGAGCCACACCCGGTCGGCACACACACAGCCTAACCTGCGTGCAGGGGCATACACATGACAACAGGGTAGCCGGGACAAGCACTCACGGTTGAGGCGAGCATGGAGCCCCCGAACCACACGGCGTAGCGCTGCATGTGGTGCGTTACCACCTGGACCTCCACGGGCTTTGGCTGGAAGGGGAAGCGGTGCGGGTTTACTCACCAGCGCGGACGGATGGACGGACAAACGTGTCCGACACCTTTCTGCGGACAGGAGGCGCCCCTCCCACCCTGAGGTCCAAGCATCCCTGCTCTGTGGCGGCATCAGCCCTGCTCTGCCTCCAGAGGAAGCTTCTCAGCTGATCCTGCTGCCAAACCCCCCTGCCCCGGGCCCAGCCACATACAGAACAAAGTACAGAAGTCAAGGGTTACCAGGGGGTGGGTGTAGCTCACGTGGTACCCAGCATACCTCCACCAGTACCTCCACCAAAAGAAATAAACAGATATACCTAATTATCTACCCCCTAAAAAAAAAAATTAAAACGACAGAAGTCAAGGGTTACCTTTACCTAAAGGCATTTTAAAAAGTAAAACATCCAAGTAACTAATCCAACTGATTATTTTTTCACTAAACAAATGAGATGTCTTAGCATTTAGAGATAATTCAAAAAAAAAACTAGATGTCCTTAAAATATTGTAAGAAATTACATTTTGCCAACAGTGTGATTCCACCAGGTGAGGACGTGCAGGTTTGCTGCCACTCACCTCTCACGAGGCCCAGCCTCACTTAGAGCTTGAGGAGAGTCAGCAGCTAGTTAAGAATGGTCATCTTGGAGGAACACGTACAGCTCTGCTGACATGAGCTATTTTAGTTTAATAAGGATGCTTCCAAAGGACAGTCACGATCCTCAGGGTAAACTGACTCTCTCTCCTGGGACACTGGTCATTACCCACAAGCTGACCTCCCAAAGGGCAGAGAGCCTGCCGGCACATCAGCCCTAACCGCACACCGGGGACGAGTGCAGGCAGCGAGCGCCTGGACGTAGCTTCACAGGCCCCTCGTGCTCTGTGCCACCCAGCCGAGCGAGGCCCCCGCAGCTCTGGGCCAGGAGGAAGCGGGGCAGCTGGGCGCAGGGGCCCACCTGAGAGCCTGCCCCCACCCCCGGGCCCCAACCTTTATTCTGCCGCCACTGAGCTCCTCGCTGAGTTTCAGTCTGGCGTCCACCACCCTCTTTAGATCTCTCTGCAGTCGGCGTCCGAAATCCCTGAACATTGTTGAGCCTCCAGAAAGAACGACGTTCTAAAAGACACAAGGCAGAGTTTCCTGTTCCGGGGTCCCACCCACAACAAAAACCCCACACGCCCAACCACTGGGTCTGAACAGCACACTTCAACCTACATGGAGAGATAATAACCGAAGCAAGGTTAATGCTATCAAAGTATAAACTGTGTTTTTCCCCTTGAGTCACAAATTCTCTGTCTCAGTGCTTTTCCTCAACTGTAACCAAGTGAAAGCATAGAGCAAGTCTGCTCCCACGTGCTCCCTCTGGACAGTGCGAAGCTCTGCAAGGTCCAGGAGGCCAAAACAAACTGTAAATCGATAAATGAGTTGTTACAATAAAAATCTAAGGCCAAACTAACACTTGACCTTTACCTGTTTTGCCTTAGTGATCACCGGGGAGGAGCCTTCCAACCCACCCCCAGGCCTTACCAGCAGGGCTTGCTGGGGGCTGGGGGAGGGGGCACATCCAAGTGAGCGGGGACACCCCTGCCGCCCGCCCTTCCACCCCGCTGAGACGCGAGAAGGGCCAAGCGGCCACGCAGGAGCCAGTGTGTGGACGGGGGGGGGGTGGGGGGGGTGTGGCTGCATAACCCTCTTACCAGCCTCTGGTGAGAGGTAAAGCCACATCTTCCAGGCTGCAGGATATTACTTAGGACGATGAAAGTGAAGTTAAGTGTATTCTGACTTCACCTTCTTACAGAAAATATGACTTGAGAAAACCAGAGAAGAAAATCAAGCAACTCTTCACAGAGCCAAGAAAGCTCCCCTTCGAGCCCCCCAGCAGCCCAGAGCCCCCTGACTGCCCGGGTCAGGACTCCTCCAGGAAGCCGTGTCTGTGTCTGAACGGTAAATCCCTCACCAAGACTGCGGGTCTGGGGAAACGCGCCTCCTGGCCCCGGTGACCGGGTGACAGGTGAGTAGACGAGAAGGGTCCTCCCCGGCCTCCTACTGCCCCTCCCAGCCAGCGCTGAGCAGGAAGGGACCGTCCTCCTTCCTTGTGAACCCCCCACTCAGACTCGGGATTAGCAGGTGACATCGGGGGAGCAGGAAGGGAGCAGGACCATGAGGACCCAGTGATGCTGTGTCCACTGGGGACCTACGCCCCACCCCCCAGTGTCTGCAGGGAGCAGTTTCACCTCCATGACCTGCTGACTGTGGGTCAAGTGGAACAAGCTCTCCAGCTGCGGAGCTGGAGACACGTGTCAGCGCCAGAGCCTCCACAAGGCCTCCAGCAGGACAAACGTGTCCCACCACCCCCGAGAGCCTCAAGTGCAGCCTGTTTTAAGGGAGGCTCTGGGCTTGGTCTTTGGGGCCGGGAATGAGGGGCGGGTCTGAGCTAAACCTTTCCTGGCTCTTCCCAGTGGGGGAGACTCCGCGGGTGCTCAGAGCCCCGACCGACAGCTTGCGGCTGCCCCCACCCAGGAAAGCAGTGCTACACACAAGAGCCCCCAGAACATCTAATGGCAGAAAAGCACCCAGGGAAGGCCGCCTGCCGCCAGGACCAGGCGCGCACCCGCGTGCCCGTTCCCTGTGTACCCACCTGTCTGCCGCCGCCCGTCCCGGCTCTCCAGGGAGGGTCTCCCACCAACACCCCTCCCCACGCTGACCACCGGACGTCTATCACTTCTTAACTGCAAACCTAGATCTTTCAGGTAGCATCCTGCCCCAGGACCAACGCCACAGATAATCACCGCCACACTGCCGCCGGCGGAGAAACATCTCAGACACAACAGGCGAGGGTTCGGTGCCTGTCAGAGTCCAGGGGCTGCGCACGGCTGCTGCAGTTACAAAAGCACCGCCCTCAGGGCACCCCCGCTCACTGACTGCATCCTCGCATCCTGACAGGGCCGGTGGGAAGGTGGGCAGCACCAAGCCCCTGGCAGGTCAGACAGCCACCTTAAATAAGGTAAAACAAGGCGCTCCCATCCCTGTCTTCTTGAAGACAGGTCTCTTCACCTGGTAACACTTGCACATAAACTGCATACCTGTTTGCTCCTAAAAATCACAATTTAAATGCATCCTCGTCATCGTACCTTAAAAGAAGCCTCAGAAAACAAGTCTCAACTTCATAAACTTGTATTAATACAAAACCTTTCTCTAATCCTTTACTGCCATTCCAATTCTGTCACCTGCTCTAGGAACACTCTTTACAGCATCTTTCTCTCCGGCCCAGGATACAGTCTTGGGTCAGTTATTGCAATTACTTGTCATATCTCTGTAATGGGTTTTTCAATTAGAAATTAATTCACCAGAGTATGAAAATGAATGTTCATCATGATACTTCAGAAGCACTGCAAGATCTTGAGTTGCCTTCAAATACATTACATATAAGGTTCACTTTTTTCATTCATTCACACAATAAAAACAGTGCTGTGTACATGGTAAAACAATTACAGACAAAACTGCCAAGGTACTTCAGCAGGGAAAGATGCTGAACAATTAGCATCCGTGGCGGGAGGAACATTTACTTACTGCCTTACTTCACACACACAACTTAACTCAATATGGATCGTAAGTTTAAATGTACAGGCTAAAACTTACAGGACTTCCAGAAGAAAATATTTTCTTAAAATCTTCATGACTCTGACATAGGCAAAGGTGTCTCTGATAGGATACAAAAAGTATGAACCATAAAAATAAAAATGGATACACTGGACTTCATAAAATGAAAACTGTTCTTCAAAAGATATCACTAAGAAAATGAAAAGATGAGCCACAGACTAGGAAAAAGCACTTACACATCTAACGAAGGACTTGTGTCCAGAATATAAAAAGAACCCTTACAACTCAATAAGATAAACAAGCCAACAAAATATGGGCGAAAGATTCAGAGAGACATGTCACAAAAGAAGACACAAAGTGACCACTACGTGCCTGACAAGACAGGCAACAGCATTTGCAATCAGGACCATACAAATTACAGCCATTACACACCAACTTCAGGTTAAAATATGAACAAATGAAATTCCTGTACATCGTTGGTGGGGGTGAAAATGGTATGACCACTGTGGGAAAAGTTCAGGAGTTTTTATTAAGTCAGACACACACTTGCCATAGGACAAAGCAACTGCGTGCCTAAGTACCCACCCAAGGGAATAAAACATACCCACACAGACTGTACCCAAATGTTCACAGCAGGTTTTCTGAAGCAGCCAAAAACTGGAAACAACCCAAATTCCCAACAGTGGGCACACTGGCAACTCCACACAGCAGACGCCTCTCGGCACTAGAGAGGAATGAACTACGTCACCGGCAACACGAAAACATGAACTAAGGAAAAGGAGTCAGAAACAGAGAACTCACCGCACGAGCCCACGTCTGCGAGACTCCGGGGGTTCGTGTCTCACCTGTGCTCCCGGGAGGCAGACCAGCTCCCCGGGGCTGGGGCTGAGGGCAGGGGGCCTCTCGCAGGTGACGGTTCTGTCCTGTGTCTGAGCTGTGGTGGTGGCTACATGGCTTTGTAAACGTGTCAAACTCTTCAAACTGTACACTTAAAGCAGATGCGGCTTATTGTATGTAATTATATCTCAAAGCTGCATTTTTAAGACAGGGCGATATAACAGAAAGTGGTGGAGGGAGGGCTACTTTGAGTTGAGGCCTCACTGAAGAGGCTGCAGGAGCTGAGACTTGGCAGGAAGGAAGCTGGACGAGGGGCCTCCTGCACACTCACTTCCAGGCGACAGCGTGGAGTCCCCAAGGCTCTCCCGCCTGACGTGTGCCACCTGCAGGCAGAAGTGAGCTCAGAGCAAGACCATCCAAATTCATCCTCACATTTCACACATTAACTCCTACCAGCTGCTACAGACAAGGAAGCCGCAGCCAGTGTGGGTGCACCCAGCGGGCACCGTCCACGCGGACAAGGCAGTCAGCGGCCCGCGGCCGGCAGCACACACGGACATAACATCTCCTGCCCGGCCCTAACCAGGCGGGCTGCCGGCCAGGACGAGCCCCTGTACTCTGCTTGGCTGCTGCTTCCAAGCGAGAGCACCCAGACTGTTCTCATCCCCGAATCCCTGACTCAGCCTAGAATCCCAGCCCCCCCCGGATGCGGGCTCTGTTTGCAGAACTGCAGCCTCCAGGGCAGAAAGTGCGGACGGGGGTGGGCACGGCCTAAGGTGACCAGCCCTGGGGGAAGGCTGGTCAGAGCAGAGGGCCGCCCGGCTGGAACGTGATACATTTATCTTCCTATTTATATTTTAAAAAAACAAAGGAGAAAGATAGTCAAAGTAATAAGAGGTGACTGCTATTCTTCTTATTAAAGATTTTAGTACTTCTCAAATTTTCTAAATGCATTTTAAGCTGGAAATAATAATCTCTGCTCATCTGTAGAGTCTCAATTTTCTACCCTAACGCTGTTTTTTAGGTTGCAGTGGCCACGGACCCTTATTTGCACAGCACACCTTCCACTCAGCGCGGTGGTCCGCTGTGTTAACTGGATCTGTTGACAGACCTCAGCAGTTACGGCAGGACCTTACTCTGCCGCCTAAAGGTTTATTCCACGATGCCAAATAAAAGCCTCAACTGTACATTCTCTCTCCAAACGGAAAGGCCCTGTCCTTACACTAGTAAAAGGAGATCCTAGCACCTAGATCATCATAAACCTACACGCACCTGTTAGTCACCTGGCACTTAGGTTAGAAAGATCAAGTCTATATTAATAGTACGTTCATTTAATTAACACCTTAGATGGTACCAAAAATAACAAAAATCCCCGATCCTGTAATGCTAAGTAGAGTTTGTGCCAGAGGCTCTATTCTTACTCTCAACCCAGTTTGGCAGACACACAGCGCCCCCTGGCCGCCGCCCTGCGTACTTCCCCACTTCCCCAGTCAACTGGTGGCGAGTAAAATGCACACAGCGAGGCCTCCACCCCAACCACTCGCTGCAGGTTAAAATGGCAGCTCGGTCAGAAGCTCCGGGCAACCGCCCCTCAACTGCGTTCCTGAAAGGCTATCTCTCCTTAGGGACAAGAGTTCTTTTGACCCTCAAACTGAACTCAAAGACTGCAATCCCACCAAAGCCTGAACAAACCTGTTTCTAAACCTTGGACAGTGCAGCACCCACACTGTCCTAGCAGACACCCACGCGACGCTCGTGGCCTCGGGGCTGCGGGGCCTCATCTCAGCGTCACCTGACGCGGCTGATGGCAGCTGTCTTCCCTTGACTCCGGAGCGTTACTTCTCTTCTTTCTTCAGCCCTTCCCTCCTGCTCCCACGGTGGTCAATCTTCTGTGTCAGCTTGGCCTGGCCGGGGCACCCAGCGACCTGAGGTGCTGCGGGGAAGGCACTCTGCAGATGTGGTTAACATCAAGGAAAGAGGACCCTCCGTAACATGATGGAGCCTCATCCGAGGAGCGCAAGGCCTTAGGAGCAAAACTCAAGTGTTCCCAGAGCAGAGGAGTCGCCTCAAGCCTGCCGCGGCAGCTCCTGCCTGGGCCTGCTGCCTGCTGGCCGCCCTGTGAACCTGGGACTTGCCAGACAGACCACCTCCTTAAAACGAGTCTGAGACAGAGAGCAAGTAACAGCGACCGGCTGCTCCCTGGAGAACGCTGACACGGTCTCTCTGGTCTCCCCCCTGCCGTCCCCTGAAATCCGGCTTCCTTGGTTCTGCCCACGGTCCTCCCGTCTTCTCAGCGGCACGTGCTCCTGCGGACCTTTCACTTCCTCCAGAACACTGACGGTCCCCAAAAGTCTGGCCCAATCTTCTCCAAGCCTCCAGAAGCCAGACCTCATCCTTGACGCCTCCTCGAAGGCCCTCCTTTCTCCCGCGCTTCCTTTCTCAGCAAACGACACCCCCTCCTCCTAGACATGCAGAGACCTGAGCCTCTTGAGCTCATCAAGGGTCTGCGAACCCCTCAGGGCCTCTCTCTCCATCCACACCACACTCCGTATCACTGCCACCTCCCAACACGGGCACTGTACGGCCTCGCCCACAGGACCCAGCGGCCTTCACCCGATCTCCCTGGCTCCAACCCACTCCCTCTGGTGCAGCTCAAGCACTGTCCTAAAACCTAGGTCAGATTACACAGCCTCCTGCATAAAACCCTCAACACACTTAGGATAAAGTCCAACTCCAAGCGAGGCCCCTCCAGAACGTGCCACTTCTCCCCAGAGCCCTTTTAAACCACAGCTCTCATCGCCCCCTCCCTATGGGCCCTGCAGAATCTGGCCCCTGCGCACAGCCAGGCTCATTTTCAAACGTTAGGTGCAAGGATGCTGGGGTCCTTCCAGATTCGCAGATGCTCTGGTCTCCTCCACCTGGTCCTGCAAGCAGTCCCTCCTCTGACCAGACCGCCCTCCCCGCTCCCATGCGCACTCCCGGCTCTGACCAGGAAGTCACGGCAGCCTCGGGGCTGGGAGGGGCCGGAGCCGTCCCACTGGCACATACACAGCCAGGGAAGTTCGCATCCCATGAAGGGACTCTCAGTGTGGCTCTTCAGTCACACAGTCATGCTGCAGGGCCTCTACAGCCACACATGTCCAGGGGCGACTGTGCTAAGTGACAACAGGCTTCGGAAAGCCCCCCAGCCTGGCGAGCCAGCGTTCAGGGTCCACATCACCCTGAACCCCACCCTCACCCCCAGTAACACAAAGACCCCTGTCTCCCCGCTCAAGACACGACGGTTCCCGGGAACCTCGGCAGGTAGCATCAAATAAGAGCTATGGGGTATGAACCGGAGTCAGGGCTGAACGGGCAGAGTTCTTAACCCTCTCTGTCCACCACCCTGCCCCGAACTACCTTCTGCTCCATTCACTTGTTAGACTTCACTCAGGATTTCACCTGAATAAAGGGCCTATTTTGAAAAGGTCTGAAAAAACAATGACATCTTAAAATATATATTTTTCTCTCTCAAGTACTAAGGATATTTTAACTTATTCAACATTGAAAATAAAAATTTTATATATATAGCTCATTTACTCTGCAACACGCTTCTCTGATTTTAAAGGTATTAACGTAATTATAACGTATCTACCCAATTCAAGCAATCTGTTACAGAAAAGTCATTCCTTGAACTATACCAAGATGTATTCACATCTGCTTTACAAACACAATGAATAAAAATGTTTTACCAACCTCCCAACCCACTGCTAGAGCAGGTTTAAACATTTATTGCCAGCCCCACCCTCCGGCCTGGATTTGTTTCCCACCACGTCCAGTGCCATGGGGCTCCACCCACAGCAGGTTTCTCAACGCCTGACCGCCCCCACCCCATCTACACAATGCTCATGCACTTGCCCCGCCTCCCCCCTTTTCTCTGCAGGCCAAGCCCCAGACTCAGCCCAATGCCACCCTCCTCAGGCTCTTCCTCATTCCCTCTCATTAGATGCCATCTGCCCCTTCTTTCAATCACCGTCACTTGCATAACTCACTTAAATGACATTTTGCTTGTGGTGGTTCCCCTCAGAATTATTTCGGTATTATTTTTAGCTTCTTAGTAAGACAAGAATCATCTCTCACACGTACTTAAATCCTCTAATTGAACAACAATAGTGTCTTGTATTTAGTAGACACCCGGATATCTGATAAACAGAATTCAGGAACAGAAGACACCAGTCGCATTACAAAGCACCCAAAATTGGCTCTGCTCTCAAGGAAAGCATGAAAGTTACTCAACGCTGACTACCCCCAGAGTGAGCTAGTTGCTCACAGTGGTTTTCAACGTGGCTGCACACTGCATCAAGAGGGGAGCTTTTCAAATCCAGATGCCCGGCCCAATTATATCAGAATCTCTGGGAGGGTGCAATGCGGGGGGGGACTCAGCTCCTGGGGTGATGCCCACAGCCAGCCAGGGCTGAAAGCTGGTTTCAAGCAGCACCTGCTGCCTG